GGGGGGGGGGGGTGTAAGCAACTGTAGAAAACTGATCTTTGCAACCCCATCCCATCCTGGTGGCCCCCCCGCATGGAGTTTCCTGTCACTGATAAGCAGAAGTCATCACAGCTTCGCCTTTCTCTTCTGGAAGCATGGAGGACGGCATGTCCTCCCACCAACCCGAGGCGCAGCCGCTGATTGGCTCGCTCCCTGTACCCACTTACCTAACCCCTGCCAGCAGAACTCCCCAACAGCATCCCCCAAACTCCAGCCAGCGCAGCGGCCGAAAATGTCAGCAGTTATTCCGACACATTCAGACACTAAATATATCAATGGAAAGCCAAATTTAAAATAAACCCAGCAACTCAACAAGGAAGGGGGGGGGGGTAGCTTAAAAAGCCCTGGCAAATATTAAAAATAGGACATCTCCTAAGTCATGCTAAATTAAAGAAAGTCATGGACAGAACACAAGAACCTACTGGCAATCAATGAGCTAAGCAATGCAGCGACACCCTGAGCTGGGAGATAACAGCGTCCTTAATGAAGAATGAATCACAACGTTCTACGTAAATCATATCATAAGCCAGATGACGGAACAGGGAGTCAATCTACCTAGTTACCTTCAAAAGCCAAATAATAATAATAATAAAAATATTAATACATATATACATACATGTGATTAGAGCGTAGGTATGCAGGCCACCTGTAAATCCAGAACAGGTTTGTGGTTCTTTTTTGGCCATATAACAACTCAGAGACAGATTAACCTCACCACACCTCCTGAAGATAAAGTTCAGCATCCTTCTAGATGCCTGAATGCCGGGTAAAATGAACAAGCGACACTTTGTTCCTGTTTGCGTGAAGTGGAGCGTGTGCCGATCGCAGAACGCCTTCACCCTGCTGGCAAGGCGAACCAACAATAGGGACAGGCCAATCGAGAGTAAAAGGACGAGCGTTAGCCTCTGGTACAACGGCAACCGTAGACTGACACCGTGACATCACACTGGAGGGGGGGGGGGTAGATAATGCCGGATTTCACAATGCCAGTGTTATTCAGACACACAGCGGGGTAACAGAATCCTAATGCGGCTAATATGCTTCTGGAGGAGGGAAGGCCGCAGGATAACTGCGTACCAAGTGGAACTGAGAGACAATTATTAGCGTAATTAACTATTAGCAGATTCCACAACCCAAGGTGATGTGCAAAACAGCAGTGTAGCATAATCAGCTTCACACGAGCGCCCCGTCATTAAGACAGAAGCAGCACGAATGTACGCGTTCCCCGTCTGTATTTAGCGCGATTAGTGACCACTCACCGGCACACGCGTTCAGAAACAGCCAGTCTGTCTTCTTCATCCTGTTTTTGATCTGCTTCAGTTTTTTGAAGTCCATCTCCAGCTCCTCTTTGGTGCTGACCGCACCTGCCGCCAGTTCGATTCTCTGGAAGTCCATCTTGACCTCCGACCCCCTCTTGGAGGTGGGCGGGGACGTCCGCTGGCTCCCGCTGCACCCTCCCCGCCAACGGGCACGGTCCTGCTCATTGATGATGGGCGAGGGTTCCTCGGACTCGGCCAGCTTGATGGCCTCTGGGCCGGCGTTGGGCCTCGGGTGGTCGCACACTGCACATTTGCGCGCCCGGGGCCAGTTTTCGTAGGTGCAGGCGGCGCAGGTCCAGTGCTGCACGCGCGTGTTGAGCCGGTTGCGGTCGTTGTACTCCTCGCAGGGGTCCACCGGATGATGCGGCACAGGTGTGGGACGGCCGCCGGAGCCCGATGACTGGGGCGCCTCGGTGGGGCTGCGAGCTCGCTCCCTCTGGCACAGGCACTGAGTGCAGCGAATGGCACGCGGCCAATTCAGGTACGTGCACATCTGGCAGGACCACTTGCTGGCCGCCTCGGCCGGGCCTGTGGGCCTGACGCGGGGCCTGGCACTCGAGTCTGGACAGATAAGCAGGCTGCTACCGCCCTCCGTCGACTGTGGGTCCCACTCCCGGCCGGCGTCCAAGCCCGGGCTGCTCTTAAAGGGATCCTCGGTGATAATGGTTCCACTGGGCCTCTGAGCACGGCACATGGTGCACTTGATCGCCGACGGCCAGTTCTCGTACGTGCAGTACTCGCAAGCCCATTTCACGCCCAGCTCCGTCATGGCTGGCCAGTCACCCTCGTGCAGACCGACTCCCTTGTCGAGGAGGGGAGACAGGAAGAGGGCAGCTGGAAAACAAAAACAGATGCACGTCTGCATCAGTGCTGCAACCGCGGTGCTGCTGGCCAGAAACAGCGACAGCACGTCCGGGTGTGTAAGCACCGCACAGCAGCTAGCCCCAAAAGTCTGAGTATCAAATCCTGAGGTCAACAGTCATGCAAATCAATATGGAAACATACTTCAGGTTCGCTCAATACATATTAATCACCGAGCTATAGCATTCAGATGCTAAGCTGATACTCTTTCACATGCAACTTGCAATTTTACTCAAGTTTATGCAACAGGCCACCCAAGCTAAGTCCAAGACAGCCTTGAACGAACAACCTTAAGTTTACAAGTCAACATCATTAAGAACAGGCGTTGTGGTTTCTACTTTCAAAATAGATACTAAAATATATGCAGGAATTACAGCGATCACCTATATTTAGTACTAGCGGTCCATTGTAATGAACTGCAATGGGTAAGTCAATAGCTGGCTTGCAAGTTTAATATTTGAAAAAAATTTGGGAAAAAGACCAGTGAGACTGTAAAACCGCATTGCAAATAGTCATTTAGGAAAAAAAAAACCCATGATCTTAAAATTATACCAATTCAAGCAAGTAAACCCTATGAAGCAGATTTCCCAGAGCTTGGGCTGGTTTGATTATCAAATTCCTCAATGTCTGTTGTGCCAACGACACTCCCTCCATCTTGACACACCCCGCTGTGCTTGGACATAAAACACATAAAGAACACACAGCCTAGTTGTGCTGGCCCAACTCCACACACAAACAGACACCGCAACAACACAGGACGAGTCCGTTCGTACAGAACAGAAAGCTACCAGGAACATTTCGATCTAAGGCACAATTTCAACTCCCCAAACCTAAGAAAAGTATTGCAGGCATGCCCTGGAGTTTACAAACACAGCACAAAAATGGAAACATACACCACTAAGGAATTTGCCTATGCAAGGCCATGCAACTTTGGCAACAAAAGTAACTTTGAAAACCTGCTCATAAGAACAGAGAGAACACTCATATGACTCACTGTCAGACACTGGGAAGAAGCGAAATAATCAAATCCACTCTGTTAGAACCATAACTAGTCATGTAAACATGCCCCAAGCGGTTTTTACGTACAAGGGATCAGGGATATTCAACTCCAGAGCTAAACAAACGGCATTATTACAAGGGTTTATTTGCACTGGGCTAGGGTGTGATTACGTATCCCAGGAAATCACCTCTATGCACAACAATGGAGTTTCACATAGAAAAGGTTAATACAAAAATATAATAAGCAACTGAAGATGTGCTTTGTGGAGAACGACCTGATGTTTTACTTCAACTTTTGACACTATAAAACGCTGGGTCTGGATGTGTTTACCTAGAAGGTGAAACCTAAAATGTTAATTTAGATTGGTGTAATGTGGTTATGGAGGCAGAGACGTGACTAAATTCAGTTCAGAGGAGAGTCCTGTCAGTGTCTAACTGGAACAGAACACCTGCGACTACTGAGGGTGCTCTGCCGTCAGCCTCACTAATTTACACCCAACAAAAAGCACTTTACAAAAAATCCTGACCAACTGCAGCGTGACCATCTAACTAGCTGGCTAGCCTGCGTGCTTCCTTGTTAAATGACCGAAGTAAAGGTCAGCTGACAGCGTAGAAACTTCCTCTACCCAAACCCGAACGCAGTCGGCACAGCCATGCATGAACCACCGACATCAGACGCCAATTACGCAGATATTTACAAAGGGGTTGCAGAGAAATCGTGATAGCACAGAGTACAGGCATAGACCTTACCAGCAGTCAGTTTGGGAGCCCTTCTCTGCCTTTGAGTCGAACAAATCACAATTTTATTATTATTATTATTATTATTATTATTATTATTATTATTATAGCACAGACACAGTCTTCTGTGCCCTAGGAAACTTCATCCCAACGTCCATAATGTCCCCAGTCACCTGCCGGCGGCACAGCTCTCCCACTCGTGTGTCCGTGCATTCCGGGGTGTATGTAACACTGTGACACCGTGATACACCGTGACACCGCGCGCGACACTCCGACACTAGCGTGACACGCAGCTCCGGGGTGTCACCGGCTTCATGGTCATGCGGCCAACTTTCGGGACAGGCTGCGCAAAGCGACTGAAAGCCGCCGAAACAGATGCCAGACGTGAGCGGGCCTGTCGGCGCACGGCAGACGGACTAGGGGCTCCCGGTCCGGCCAGTTAAGCATCAAGCCGCGTCTCTCTCTCTTTAAGCACCATTGATTCGGCCACCGTGCGCGGCTGTACGGCGCTGCCAGCCGTACCCTCCCAGCTTCGGCGCTTCGCCCCGCGGGGCCTTACCTTTCTCCTGTGTTTATACTCCTCCTCTCCGTGGTGCCCGACTGCAGCAGCCCCTCCGAGCCGTCCCGTCTGCTCCTGCTCCGTCCAGTCCAGTCCAGTCCAGTCCAGTCCAGTCCAGTCCCGTTCCGGTCCGGTCCGTCCTCCCCGCTTCGCTCGATCCTTTCCTCCCAATCCCTAATTCGGTCCGGCTGCTTTCGGAAACCCCCCCGTATTTGTTTACATGTTTCCCATTTCTTCTTCCCCGACCCCTCCGAGTCCGCGACAAGACCCCACGCAAGACACAGAAAACAGCCCCCCGGGCACCGTCTTCTGCTCGAATCCTGAACCTTCAAACGCCCATCTTTCCTCAGCACTATTTTGCCAATTTCTATAATGGCGGCGACTGAGAGGCAGGAGAAGCCAAAATAAACCTTCACTACGGAGAGAATAATAGGTACGTCACGCACCACCTGGCCTGACCGCCTAATCTGATTGGCTTGTCCTGTCTGCACCTCTCACTGACCTATCAGAGGCGACGTCTCCGATAGCTAATAGTAAATGGTTCCTCAGTGGAGGAAAATAATGCAACTAATGCTTCGTTTTCACCGTCTTGGCTCCGCCAGTGACATTACAAATGTGACAATCGGTGCCACCGTCGTGGAGCCAAAATGGCGTTAGTTTCACGAATCTCTGCGAAAAATTCGCCGTACTTTCCCCGTTTTTTGCGTATACATCGAGGTTTTTCAGAAGTAAAAGGATGATGTCATCCGAAGCAACTGCTGCAGTAGTAAGCCTGCAGTAAAATCTGTTAGAAATACACCCATATATGTACTTAACATAAATTAGCCTCTATTACGGAAATATGCAGAAAGACAGATACTCCGGTGATTCCAGTCAAGAATTGCTAGCATACAATGTGCATGTGTGCAACAAGAATTAACAAAAAAATAAATAAATGTTTGGTCACCATTAAAAAGCTTTGCAATTACATAATTTGCATGCGCCTACACATCGTTTTAATTACTCTTAATTAAATACAATTACCATAATTTTTCACTAAATGAAACTAAATGCAAATACAGTTTTATGTTAATAGAAAGGTAATTTTATTGCTGTTTTCTGTTATATTCAAATGGTCATAAAAGGAAGTCACCGCACAATTTGTCACTGTGGATAAATATTTAGATGCATATGTATTTCCTCTCCTGGTTCCCCGAGACGAGCCAAATATAGGACTGCACGGCCTGCGCTAACTAACCCGTTACCTTTGCTGCGATTCCCCGCCCCGTCACCTCATTATGTAAATTTGAGGACCGCCCACCTGACGTCACTGAAAATGGCAGCCTACTTGAGTCGCTTGCATCACATTGCCCTCCACGTTGGGAACGTTGACAAAACAACATTCGACCTTCTTACTAAATTTAAATTTAATTTATTTGCTGTGAGGCGAACTAGGGAATCGAGACAATATGCTCTTCGAAAGGGCTCGGCCGTGTTCGTTGTCAATGAGCGATTAAATCGGACGTTTACTTTGAATGAAGGAGCGGCGTGGAGTCCCCGGCACAGCTCGGTCACTCCTCAGACCTTGAATGATGATTCCAGATTTCTGTATGGCGTTCAAGATAACAGTTGCGTTGATACTGCATGTAATGTGTGCTTTGAAGTAGAGGACGTGGAAAGCGTGTTTAATTCTCTTTACAAGCAAGGCTGCGATTTTCTGGTTCCGCCAACCTCTGTGGTGGACGACAATGGACGTGTGACTTACTCCGTTGTAAAATCCATCGTTGGCAATGTTTGTCACACGCTTGTTGATAGGACTAAGTATAAAGGGGAGTTTTTACCCGGCTTTCAAGATGTTAACGTCGACAGTGCGGTCAGCACGGACGGAGAATCATCGTGTTCCGTTTGCCATTTTGATCATATAACATATGCATGTCCCAGGAAAAGTACGCCGGAAGTTATGCGATGGTATGAGAAAAATTTTGGCTTCAAGAGGTTTTTCATTGACAGGTGAGAATAAATCTTTGACTGTAATAATGCTTTCACACACTCTGGATCAAACGCCTTTTAATACCTTTTATAGATTGAGCAGTAATAGTGCCAAGGCTGGCACCAGATTCTAATGCAGGCGTCATTGACTTTCTTCGTCCGTCAGGAATGAGGATGTGAATGAAGGCTATGTCATTGATCAGGATGGCATTGGTCTGCGGCTGACCGCTATGGAGTACTGGAAGTGTAGTGAGCTGGAAGTGAGTCTTCCCTTCAAAAACAAACGGGATCCGGACTGCAAGTTCGTCGTTGCGGAGTCGCTGCCGTACCAAGGTGATCCAGCTCGGTTGCTGTCGTACTACGATCATGGATTCAGTTTTATTTCCGATTCCTTCTATCAAACCTCCCGTGGTCTGAGCAGAGGTAGTAACAGATGTTGGGGGTTGTGTGCGTGTGTCTGACGTTCAGGATCAAACCAAGTGGACAGCTTCCTGGAGCAGCATGGGGGAGCAGGCATCCAGCATGTGGGGCTGTATACTCCAGACATCGTGTCCTCTGTGGACACGTTGGCTGAGGCGGGGGTGCAGTTCTTTTCCCCCCCACCAACATACTATACCCAGGTGGGGAGGGCACTTCATTCTCCATCTGTTTTGCAATAACTGTATTTACACACCTGACATTCTTTTAATCCCCGCTGACCATAAACATTCAGTAATGCAAGGGAACAGAACCGTTATCTACCAAGAACTAGCTAATTGTACTTTATTACCTGAAAGTTAAATCGGGAAAATGATTACAAACCCAAAACTATTACCGATTTAAAGTCCCACACCAGTCACTTGATCTCACTTTACATTGCTTGTTACAGCAAAGATGTACAAGCTGTGACAAGTCAGTACATATCACAAATTGTTACAAGTGCTTCAGCGGCCATCAAGTCAAAGCTGTAACCAATACGTATGACATTTCCCCAAAGCTTGCCTGACACACAGACAGACCATGTGTAAATCCTCTTCTGTGGCAGGTGGGCAAGCTGCAGGAGATAGAGGATGCAGGTCATGACCCTCGATTACTCTCCCAACACGGGATTCTCCTGGACAGCGACGTGCGGCAGAACGATTCCGACAATCACCTCACGGCCAGCAGAAATAAGAGGTAGGCCCAGTCCCTGACATCCCTATTAAGGACACTTGCTAATGTCACCGACCTATGCGGTGAAGTATTGCGCCCCCTGCTGGCCTGATTGTGAGCTCCTCTCGGTTCCCAACACAGGTACCTCCTCCAGGTGTTCACCAGGCCTATCTTCACCGAGGACACCTTTTTCCTAGAGCTGATTGAACGGCGCGGGGCGATGGGTTTCGGGGAGGGCAACATCCGTGCCCTCTGGAGATCCGTGCAGGCTTACATGGAGGGGGGGGACAGGGAGAGGCAGGCGCTGGTTTCAGGGGCCACCACTGCGGACTCCAGCCGTCACTGACCACAACGAAGCATTTCAATGCCTAACTATACGTATTTATGCATTTCTGATGTCGTCAGAATTCTCTGAACACAGAGGCTAATAATAAATGCTACTGAACATGATCAAGTTTGTAAGTCACATTCATTTATCATCATATTCATTTAGTGCCAGAAGAGAATCAGAGGGGTAGCAATTAGCCAAAAAATAAAACCTCGTCTGCTTTTATTTTCCCCTACAAATAAACAAAACGAAAAGTAAAATATCAGACAAAAAATAAAATCCACCAATTTATGCAGTTATCTTCTACAGCCGCGATAAGGCAGGATCAGTGTCAACCGACAGGTGTACTGTCTTGCAGTATTGTGCTTAGGGGAAGAAGTGCCCCGCCCCCAAAGGGTGACGGCCAACAGGAGCTGAGAGGTGGCACTGTGTGAGTAACGCAGCTTGGCAGCACCGTGATGCACCCACAGGAGAACTAGTTAAATATCTTTGTATACGACCAGACCAGCGCTTCCTGTAACAAGATAGCACCACGCACTAAGGCATGTCATTTTCCAAAGCCACGGATCACAGGTGTGCAGGTTTGCGAGATCATAGCCATTTAGAACCTCATTCTGAGTTCATAACAGAAAGTTACAGCCAACTCTTCCATGTGCATGGGAAAGACAGCAGTTTCTTTGCATGTAGAACCAGAAGCTCATTTCAGCTCTGAAAACTCTACTCAAGATTTCCTTTACTGCATCGTTCTGCATACACACACACATCCATCTCTCAGCTTTAAGTCAGAAGGCCATCACGGTACTATTTGTTACTAATATGCAGAGTTATGTCCTGGCTTCTCTTTCGCATGGTCTGGTGGTCTACAAATGGAAGGCACCAAAGTTAAGGTCATTCACATTCCGTGCGTTTTTTTTGTTTGGCTCTGTTTAAGGTGGACTCTTCTTAGCTGCTTTGATTGGGTAGCTCTACAGTCAGTAACTCTTCAGCCCAATTAGGCCCAACCCAGTGGGCGGACCCAGAGGAAAAAGGCCCATTCACAGGCCTGATATACAATCAGTAGTAAAAAGTTACTCAAGCAACAAACGATTGCTTTCACCAGATACATAAAAACAAACGGACTGTTTCCTGCCACCACATTACCCAAGCATTTTTCTCCAGTCCCACAATCCTCAAGGCTTAAGCATGGCAGCAAGTTTTAAGTGAGTAAAATGTGCCCGTGGTACTTCAGGATAAGTCACTATTATAATCATTTCACGTGAATAACAAAATAGAGTAAAGAAATTTACATATCAGGGTCTACATAGGTACACACTTATTAAAAAAAGTTAATCAGTTTTGTGTGAGAGGAACGTATAAGGTAGCAAAAATAAAACAAGTTTCGCCTCTGTTCGGCACAATCAAGTTGCAGACGCAGCGAGCAGATGGCCGCTGATTTGGCTCGTGAGGGATTGACCTCAGGGAATCACGCTTCCCTTTTAAGGTAAACAGATCAACAAGGCCAAGCAGTGCAAAGAGGTACTGGTGCGATATCGATTCCCAGGCCGATCCGGCAGGAACGGCCTGAGGCTTTCAGGTGACCGAAGACAATGGAGACGTGTCACTGGCTGGCTGGTGGGACCTCTCACTAATGGGAACAAGGTGCGAAGGTGACCACCACTGGCTTGGGGTTTGGATGCCAGCCCCTTCGATGGAGCATCTCTGCATCCTTGTCGTTTTCGCAGCTGCCGTACCGCCGACTACCCTCCAGGACACGGTCCCCTGCCACCTCAACCTGGTGATTAGATCACGAAGGACTGTGAGTCTCCACAGTCACTGTCTAGCCCCGGGATAATGGGCTGGTCCTGGTCCCGGTCCCGAGGGGGAGCCTTTCTGTCAGACTCCTCCGAACGCTCGAGCTCCAGCTCCTCATATTCTTCGTCAGTGTGCTCCTCATCCTCCTCCAATCTCGCAGCCTGCCTGGCAGTGGTACCAGACGTCGCTTGCTGGTCCAACGGCTTCTGGAACTGGGCCAGGGGTGGTGCCCCAACCTCTGCGTAGGCTGTCACAGAGGCTGGAGGGTCTGTGCATGAGCATGGGTCGCTAGGGGTGCTGCAGGAGGTCATGGAGCTCTCCCTGACAGCTGGACCTGCAAAGGATGTCACTTTCAGGAGGTCTGAAACGGGAGCCGGTCAGGAGCACACTCGGCGGACTCCGTAGCTCAAACTACCTAAATTCAGGCACAAGTTTAAGGCACCTCATTAATACTCACTCTGGCGATCCTCAGTTTTCCTGTGCTTCCTGAGAGCAATTTGCTTCTTGAGCTTCTCCACGTCCTGTTGGATCTCCTCCTTCTCACGTTCACTTCGTTCCACCTCTCCGCAGATGGCCTGCAATGGCAAAGGGTCCCATTACGGTGACAGATCAAGGCTTGACACTGGACCTGGATGATATTTTCTACCGAAGAGCATTATGGACTATCAATCACTGATGAGCAGTCATGAAGGCTTGAAGCATTGTGTCGCAAGGTTTTATGGAGGTCTTCTGAAGGTCTTCTTGGGAAGCATTACCACATCACAATCACTTTCCCACCATCCCAAGCTTACATCAAATATTTAGCTTAATAAATACTCGTAAAAAATTCATGTAGGTCTTTGGAAACACTAGCAGACTCCCAAAGTACCATGTGTGTTTTATTAATGGATAACTTACTTGAACCTGCTCCTGTAGTGCACTGTAGACTTGGAAGATGTTCCTAATGTCCTTCACGACTCCATCCTTGTCAAAGAACTCGGCCCTGCGACATTCATATCCAGTTACGCTCCACGGCCGCATCTCGAATCGCTCCGCCAAGCGGCAACGCGACACGCCGGCAGCAGAACACTGTAAGCCCGAGCGAGTGGCAGCCAAACGTATAAGATGTCACGCGACCGAAAAGTCAAGGGGGCACATGGGCCATTAGAGTCGCGGAGGAGTTTAGGGGATCAACTAGGGATGAAATATAGCACGTCCGAGAGGGACAGGATGACCCAACTGTCTGGGTACATAGTGTCTTATGAAAGACACATCATGAAAAATGAAGGTGAGGAGGACTGGACAGACCAATACCAGGAGCAACCAGCTTACACAGTAGGGCATGCTGGGATGTATGACATAAGCAACATGGATCAACAGAATAGAATAAAGATACATAATTCATCCATGTAGAGAAATCCCCATTACGCCTACCCCATCTTGCTCTCCAGGAGACACACATACAGATGAGAGCAAGCTTGGGGGTCGCAGCACGGGGTCAGCCAGCCTGCAGCATCCCTGGAGCTGGGAATTAAGGGCCTTGTGCTCAAGGATCCACAGACTTGTGATTATTCTGCCAAGGCCAGGGCTCAAACTAGCGACTTTCCGATCACAGACAGAGTCTTCATCCGCCTTCATCTCAAATGGCTCTTACACACTCTAGTAGTGCTCCAGGCTTAGTTACAAGCATTCCTCAGTAACCTACCCCCAAATTAAAATCTATTTTTGGGGTTTCAGGTCCCTTTCTCTCCTCACTAGATCGCTATGCATGCAGACTCACTCACCCATGCTCCTGAATCACCTTGGCATAATTCCACGAGGTGTTGGGTACAGAGGATACCTTGTACTCCTGTAGGCTGGTGCTGCCAAGGTTAGGAATGCACAGTGAAACCCTCTGGTTGTACCTGCTGGAGATGAGATTACAATCTGGATTCACATGCAGTAACCGCGGGCAGCTCCAATGGACCTTGGACCTTGCAATGTCATTAAATTAAAGGAATGCGAGTTATGAAATGCATTTCCTGTCCCTACTTGCGGGCAGTGTGCATCCTGTGGGGTGTGCGAGTGTGCGTGTTCCTCTGAGAGGCAATAGCAGCTGTCACTGTCAATGATATCACGAGAACCAGGGCAGGAACCAAGAAGTCCTAAGACATCGCTACGCCGTCGTGTTTCGATGCTGACAGATACTTGGATGGGTTCCACAGAATCCAGTAAAAAGCTACCTACAAATACTTAGGAATACTCTTTTATGGACAATACTTGTTGCCTCTGGGATAGGTTTGAAGAATTAGAATTAGAATTTAGTGATCAGTGGTCATTGTCAACACACCACAGCACACAGTGCGCAACAACGAAATGTGACCTCTGCATTTGACCCATATGTGACTTTCGTGACATAGCAGGGGGCAGCTAATTCAGCGCCCGGGGAGCAGTGCTTGGGGACGGTACCTTGCTCAGGGTACCTCAGTGGTGACTTGCTGGTGGGGGATTCGAACCTGCAAT